CTTTGTTGACTCCAAGAATGACCGTACTCATATTTTTTTCTGTTTGCTGACAGATAATATTTTTATGCTAGCAGCGAAAGCAAGAATGCGTCACGTGTACGGAAAATCTTGCAGGGTGTGGGTGTGTAAACCAACCATGATGTAATAACATTTCACCTCAGCAATGAGAATCTTCAAATGGTAGTCAATTGAAAAATAGATCGACCTGTTTCTTAACGAAAAGATAAGTTCAATTTGCTAATCTCAACTCTTGTTTTTTTTGCAATCGACTAAGTCGAAAATCAAATAAATATGCTTGAATTAAAATAATTTCAAAGAAATGCAGAGTTAATTTCGCCAACGTCTTTCGTGTTATTTATTAAAATATTAAAACACTCATCAGAGTTCTGCATAATATTTTCCTAAGCAAAAGTAAATAAAACAAACTTTCTAAGACAAAAGAAAAAACACCAAGAAATAAAAAAGGAAAAGAAAAATGGGAGCAAATTAAAAATTGATTAAGACTATTTTTGTTTCTTGTATTTTCTTATAAACAATCGAATATTAAGAGAATACTGTTGACGAATTACAATCCGGAAATAAAAATTTCGAGTAATGCATTAGTATGATTGTATCACTTCTCAATTGTTCTACTGTATAAATAATCATTAAATTGCAAATCAAAAATGATAATAGTATTTAGTCTGAATAAGTCATTATAAACGATTAAATTGATCAGAGATATTAAGTTGATTTTTCTATTAATAAAATGATTGTATTAATGTACTCTATGAGCTCAAACAGAGAGTATCAGCTGATGAAGTTTCCTTGTGAGTAAAATTTTTCAATGGGTCGATCTGAATTTCTTGGTCTGTCTGCAAAGGTGTTTTCTTGCGAGATTGACTCAAATGATAACTTATGAATAACAATGATCTTTTTCATTGAGAAAAGAATTTGTACAGATGAGAATCATGTTTCTCATTTTTTTTTCTTTATTAATCATTTACAGATAAAGATGAAATAAAAAGACTGATTTTCTGACCGTAATCGATTTCGAGTCTATCCCATGTATTCACTTCTACGAGATATTTTTTGTTGACTGAATCTTTAATATTGATGTTCGTTAAGAGTTACATATTGAGTGTTCAATTGACGAACTTTCAAACGTGTTTAGAAAAAGTGAATCGAACTAATGCTTTGCGATGAACTGGTCGGCAGATTTTTGAGATGTTAGTCTAGATCAAATGAATCGTGTGTCAAAAAGATAAACAGAGTTTGATATTGTTCGGACGCCTTTTCTATCTTTGAACTGATGAAAAATTGATTAGATGCTTTATTTGAATAAGGTATCAGATGAAAGAATTCTATTATTTGACTTATCTTTATCCAAATCGGATTCGATAAACTAAATTCAAATTCATTTTTCTGAATCCTTTGAGACACGATAAAGGTCACTCTTGATGAGAAAATCTTTCTGAGAATGACGAATTGCTAAAAAAGATTTGAAGTTTTGTGTTATAGCAGTGATTTCCTATGTCTCGGGAATAGTGTGTTTTGAGATTCATTAGAAAACCGAGAGACTTTTTCGAATTGAATTTATTCAAGAATCAGTGATTGTTACTTCGCACCAGAGATATGTTGGTTTGATCGAGTTTTTATTGATAAAATAGCGTGGGATAGAACAAATGATCTTGTTAGTATTGTGGTCAACGATCATTTATTAGATTAAGCAGAAGAGCAAATTTTTAAGAAATTAGTTCTACTGACAAACAATAATCGATATCATTTTCATTGGTTTGATTGAATTCATTCGTTTCTTGTGGTTAAAATAGATTTTTTTCTACTGTTGCGTGATTTAGAATTGATTAAAATCGATTTGTTTTCAAGAAAAATAATTCGAGTTTATGACAAATAAAATCAATTTTGTCAGATTTTCTTGGAACAATCTATTTGAATTTGATTTTTTTCTTGCAAACTTTCACGACTACGCTTTGCTTTTTTTGACACAATTTAAATAGCATTTCTGAGCTCCTACTTTTAAATCACGAGACTGACTGTGATTGTTTTCGTCAAATGTTTGATGTTCACTAAATTTGTTTTACTGTTGAAAGCTGATGTAACTGAACATCCGACTTTAATTTATCGTAAAGATCTATCTATACTGGAAATCATCAGATATCTAATTGCACACATTTGTCTAGTTCCCTGTTGGTGGCCATCCAGAATGATCATAGAACTACAATGTTCTCTAGAAAATTGATGACAAAGGCTGAGTCTCCATTTCAGAGTAAATAACTGGCGATCATGCGGCATAAATTCGAGGAACATTCTATGAAATAGACAAATCTAAATCCTCACAAAACTTTCCGAGTTATCACAAAAAACGATGTTTTTCGATGTGAAGGTGACCCACACTTTACATTCACTGAATTGAATGCATTTGCAAAATTCGAGAATCCAGATTGTTTGAACAAGACTTTCATCCTCTTTGTAAGACACTCTCTTACATGGTGTCTCCTTCTCCGCTCTCATTACTAATAGCTCTCTTGCTTTTCTTTTTCCTTTCAACATATTTAAGTTGTCTTTTTCTTTCTCCAGCAAGTTGAATCTAAATCGAAGAAAAGTGTTTTTGTTTGTTCTCTTTCAAATCAGCTTCCAATTTCAGAACTTCCTTTCAATATCAATGATTCAATGGCTTCAGTAATGGCCTATAGTACATAAGTCGATATCTATATCCTCTTGAGTTTTGTCTATGTTAAAGATGAAGCAATACAAGAATATCAGAAGAAATTGCTGTCAAGTTCGTTATCTGTGATGCACAATTTTCAAAAGATAGACGAATATTTTCGAGGATCACTATCTAATTTTATTCAAATATGAAAATAAGCTTTACAACAACATATAATTATAAGCTAATTTTATCTAGAATATTATAGTCTAGTTGTAGAGTAAATAGAAGTGAGAAGTTCTATTGATTAGCGGAGCGCAGCACGAAACTCAGTCATAGAGAAGTTGGGGTCAACCTTGCGACCTTTAGGCACTGCTGCTTCCTTGTGTCCCAAAACACGTGCAGTAGGCACACCATAAGCTGCTTGAAGAGCTTTAACACCACGTACATAGCTATTCCATTGAACTGGTGGCCAGTATCGATGTCCAGTATTATCCGATGGAGTACCAGTTCCTTCAGCTTCAATACCAATTGAATTCGAATTTCCGAAAATCGAATCATTAATCGTTTTGCCAGCGTGATAACAACGACCAGCTGCAATGACGTACCAAGTTCCTGAACGACCTAAACCGAGTTGTGCAAGAGGACCAGGAAGATCCTTACGACCATCTCTGACAACACCAAGTGAAGGATATTCACCTTTCGACGGACCAGCAGTATGATGAATTAGAATACTTTTCACTGAAGCCATTTTACCATGACCACGTGTCTTCCAGCCTGGTTGTTCGAGTACACGGAGACCAGCACGACGAAGAATGGCAGCCAAGTTCGTAAGCATTGTGTTGACTGGTTTGGGTTTACCGGATCCTAACTTACAACATTGAACATTAGAAGGACCAGGACAAATACCTGGTTGCGATTTTCCACCTTTTGCTGAACAGGTCTTGACATCCATGCATGTTGAACTAAATCAAATATAATTAGTTTCTGAGTATCAATGACATAGGATGCTTTACCAAGAGCAGCACTGGATTTGAGTAGGACCAGGGCAGAGACCTGCTTTAGAAGTTCCACCTTTAGCAGAACATACACTAGTAGCAATGCAAGCATTCTTGGACCAGCATTGTGCACTAGTGCTTCGTGCATGAATGACGACTAAACAAAACAGACTTGCTAGAAGACCGACGCTGAACATTATGAAAATATTGTTGATGATTGAAAATAGATCAGAAATTCGTGTACGATTTTGATCTAAACATATAACAAAAAAAAGTTTTATGAAATCGATTAAAGTCAGATTATTCCCATTTTTTTACATGGATATCCTTGTATCAGTTTTAATCTATTATTTTTCATAATTTTTTGAATTCCTCGTATTTAATAACCATGAAGTTGTCACTAAGCTAAAGTCCGACTAATGAAGTAAACTAGGAACTGCTATATAAATTTTTTCATAACTGAGATGGCACAATTATATTAGTAATCGATTAAAACTTATTTTCTTTAGCGGAATTGTAGTAAAGACCTTTCTATAAGAAACGTCCAGGTAAGGAGGATCCCTCAAAACTGAACAATTCTGGACAAAAGGAAGGAGTCAAACAGTTTTGGACGTTCGAACACTAACTATGAATGTTTTTCTTTTTTTTCACACAATTTTTTGTGCGATTGTTCAGATGGAGTACGGAAGTGAGCATATCGGTTTTCTTCTCCCTGACGATCAGTGTTCATGAAAAACAGAGATTTTGGAGTAGATTTTTTTAGAAAGTGTTTTTTATACTGGACGTCCAGGAAGAGAAGGGAGTCGATAAAACTTGACAAACCTGGACAGGCGGAAAAGGAGTCAACAAAAATTCGATTTAAACCTGAGCGTCTATTATAGATGGCCCTAATCGATTAGATCTTAAACGATTACTATGATTTCCTATGAAGAAATCGATTTTAATCAAATTTTTACCGTCTTTTTATATGAGGACTCGTTCGAATGACTAATTTCAACATAGACTGTAAACATCGTCCAAATTGTGATATTTTTAGAGATATTCAGTGTATTATCGGAAGAAATAGTCATGATATTATGATTAATATCTTGTTTATCATAATACAACGATGAAAAGAAAGGAAAAAAAATGACATCACTGACGAGCTATCTTTAGAGCAATTTTGCAATTTCACATGTAATCAAAGATGTCATCTAATGAACGATTTGTTATGTTTGTCATGCGTGTATTTTTCTCAATTGGGCCTCCTCTACATTCATTGAACAGGGTAAGTCAAATTACAAGATTCTTCTAGGAGATTTCCTTATTCGTACAAGCGATTTTTTTTCTGCACTTGTTCATATCATTAGATTTGACTTTAGCAACATGTGATTAAATGATTCATATTTTGATGATGTCAATAAATGTGAAGAAAAGTACAAAATCGTTCTAAAAATAATCCATAAGCGATGTCATGGTTTTTTCCCTTTCTTTGCTATATCGAAGTATAATAAACAAGGGATCAATAACAATAATATGACTAATTCTTTTGATATCACATCGAATAGCTCTAAAATCATGACAATTTCAACAACATGATTATGTACTGTACTCAAGCCCATGTCCTAAATCTTTATTTTGTCATATGAAATTCATAAAAAAAAGAATTTTAATATGTTCTAGGATAGATTAAAATTTTAATTTCCTCGCGAACATACGTATTTAAATTATTTTTTTAGAAAGATTTTATTGATAAAGAAACTTTGCTAAAACAATCCAAAGAAGGTGTACAAAAAGAAAATGTTTTCGTTCAACTGTATCTTAAAGATTATAATCTAGATTCAGATGCATGGTAATTATACTTTTTCTCTCATGAACAATACATAATTAAAATTTTATTTTTAAGAACATATGGTTTTACACTCGACAAACAAGTATATTTAATTATAGGAAACTATCATTTATTCATGCTGATTTGATATCGTGTACATTAATCAAACGGCCATTTTTTTTTAAAGATATTATTCATAATTTGTTTAGCAACAGTGCATACTAGAATTTTGAAATAAAAAGTTAATAGTAAAAATATTTAGGACAATTCAAAAGTAGTGTCAGTAGCTTTTTAATAAGCATGAAGAAATCTATCTAGTTTCTATCAAAAACTATCAGCTAAATAGGAATTTGTATTATCGTCACATATGATAGAATAAAATGTTTTAACGAAATTTTATCATTATTATTATTATTATATTAGTTGCAGAATGATGAAATACCATAGAAAAATAGAACATTGTTTTTATTATCACTGCATATAAAAAGGAAACTTTCTTCAAGCTTACTATATAGTATTAAAGTATTATTATCACTACTTTTCGATTGTCCTAAGTAAAACTCCTCATGTACTTTGTTATAGTTTCAGCAATAATACATCAAGTTGCTCATCTAATCCAATCGATACAATAGAAGTGGATGGTTGTGGATGCTTCATTTCTTTCTTCTTTTATACTAATGTTGAGCAAATTCCTTGTTTTCTTAATTTCGAATCAATTTAAATAATTTGTTTTTCGTTATTTCAATTATTAATTCAAAGATTATTTTTAATTATTTAATATCAATTAGATCAATTTATACTAAGGCTCGATGAAGATATGTTGGAATTAATCCAAAATCCATAATAACTGCTCTTCATATAGATAATAACTATTATTCTTTTGGATTATTTGAAACTAAATGATATTATATGATTTTAAAGAATAAAACGTTTTTGTTTTACTTGACAATTCCTGATTGAATTCATAGTAGATACGAAATTTGCTGAAAGTTTTTGTGTATAATGAATATTAATAATCGTTTTAGTTTTCAATGGAAAAGTTAGACTATTTGTTTGATTAATAAGAGAATGTTTTTGTAAGTTAAAATTAATATTACAAGAAACTTGCTAATTCTTTAAGACAAGATTTATACTCTCTAAAAAAAAACAACTTTCTCATGTTTAACATTTTGATTTCGAATGCATCTTATGAAGAACTCATATTTTAATAATTGAAAGTTTTCTTTAGAATTGCAATTTATAATTAATAACAATTTTAACAGATTCCTAAAGTTTTTGACCAAAAAACAAATGAGACTAATAAGTCGTTTATCATTTGAAACTAAGTTTTACCTAATTCTAAAGAATCAAATTAGATAAAATGAAATGAACAGAAGGAATTTGACAGTTCTTCATTCTGAACTTCTTTTAAATTGTCGTTCAATGTTGCAATAGTGTGATTGTAGTTGTTTGAAAGAAATTCATCGCATACAGATAAGAAGAACATAGAATATCTTACGGGAGAATTTGCTTGACAATTAGATTTTACTTTGTCATTAATGTGCTGAGTACAAGTAGAATTAGACGAGTTCTACCGAATGTGATACTTGTATACGATTTAATTTTAGAAAGATTCTCAATAGTAATAATCCTCAATGTACTTGAGTCCTTATTGTATTTGACAAAGTTATCGAATTTGTGCTTTGCTTACTTTCCAGATATACCTACTTGAATGCAAATTTTCGCATTTTACGCTGAAACTCTCTCTTTCCACTAATACGATTCATATACGTTGTTACCTTGAATAAAGAGTTTCAGAATTCGTATAGTCGAGCTACTATCATTTTGAATAGTAGTTGCTTTTCCAAGAATATTGCATCATAGAAGATGTGAGTAAATGATTGTCAGTTATTTTAAAATAATTGATGGATTTCAAACCTTGATCTAAGTGTTAATAAAATCAAATGGAAATTCGTTTGAAAGTCTAAGGTGAATGTATGATCATTAACTTTTCATCTTTGTTGAAATCCTTCGTCCTAAAATAAATGTCGAGATCATCTTCATATTTACATGTCTATTTTGTCTATTATTCGATTGTTAATATTTTTTTCAACGAGTCACATCCATAAATACTTGTAAATGAGCATGAGTATCGTCGTATGATACTATTTTGATATTTGATTGAAATAGGTTGTCTATAGATCAGTGTTGCTTCTCATTTCTTTTTCTCTTCTTCTGGTAGAGTCGATTTCACGTCCTTTATTTAAAAACTATCTATGAAAATATCATGTACACATATAGCTAATCTGTAAAAAGAAAGAGTATTATCGCATATGCATGAATGAATCAAGAGAGAGAATATCATGTTAGTGTCAGATAAAAAAAATTAACTGAAAAGTTTTTACATAAAGTAATAGAAAAAATATAGGGGAAGAAACTATCAGTTCTCCTTTAACCTGAAAAGTAAGTTCATCCTGTCGATCAAATGAATTAAACAAATATGTTCATTGTTTGGTAAAGTCAGATGCTTACACCTTTTTCAACTACAAGTTATTTCACAGTCTCTCTTTTAATCTTTGGAAAGTATTTTCCTCTAAAAAAAACTTATAATTTCGAGCAATATTCTACCAAATCATTCGTAACTATTGTCTATTATTAGAACGAATCAGTGATCATGCATCAAGCGAGATATTATCGGTAGATTTGTTTTGTTTTTGTTTATGATATGGATATATACAAAAAAGCTTAGATAAACATGAGAATTGGATATATAAATGGCGAACTAATTCGTGAAAAAAGCAAGAAAAATTGTAGAATAACACAAAACCAAGACAGTATATCTAGTACGCATGTCGGGCTTATTTTTCGATATAAAATTCAAAAAGTGACGTACTTTGTTTTCTGAGGTAATCATCTTCTTGAGCAGTCTACAGATAAAGGAAATGTTTATTCAATATTATTTAGTTGCCAGAGTAAATTTGCTCCTAACAATAAGACATCAAAAACAAGACAAAGTTTTCTTACATGAGGTAATATGGACTAAGAATATGTGTCCAAAATAAAATCCTATCTACAAATGCATTTCTAATGTCAATATCATCGATTTACCGAAGTAGCATTGTTTTTATCAAGTTATAAGAGTGACTCAATCTTGGAGTGCTATATTCAAATTCTCTTTATATATTTACAGTTCCCTGGTGTCTTCCTAAAAAAGAAAAAACGAATTTTCGCCACTGCTCGAAACGCTGCTATGGTAATTTAAGCGCTTTTTTGTGTCGCGTTACTCTTGTAGTACGTGCGACAACATGAGCTATTTCTGGCATGTGTGCTAGAAAAGTAAAATAAATTAAATAAGAATTCTGATTTCAACAATCCTAAGCATGTGGTTTTATTAGAATGAATCTGTAATTATAAAACCTTGTGAAAATTAATTGCTAATAAGAAGGGTATGGGTATTTATTTGGACGAGACTCACACACATACACACCCACATCCTACAATGTTAAGAAAAATTTCAAGAAATAATTTAATTAGGATCGAAAGAACGAGCGGGAATCTTGATTTTACATGTCAAGCTCACTTTTCTGAACTTAAGTGAAAGAATAGTGATATTCAATTTTTGATTAAATGTCAACCAGGAGCTACGCATAACAAATTATTTTTTCTGACATTCACAGTCAGTAAGATCAAAATGAAACAAATAAAAAGACATACAAACTTACATCTTTCAATTTACAAAACATTTTTTTCTTTCGAAGAGTAAAATTTAACTCCTGAATGATCACGTATACTGGAAAGACTACTATCTAATTGGCATGCATGACCTTAGCAATATTAAAGTTGATCATAGACATTCAGATCGAACCAATATGATTGTAAATGGCCTTTTGATACCAATCCAATATCAATGTTAAAATTTAATCTATCTATCATCTATTGATCATTTATCTCTTATTCTCATGAATTGTTCCTTTTTTAGAGTTTATTTTCGTTAACAAAGTCACATGGATTCCATAATGATATAAACATGCAATTTTCTTGTACGGTCAGCTCCACAGTCAGTTTTGATTCACGTTAGATTCATTACAAATGACAATACAGCATGATTTCTTTGTTAGTGCCGATCATGACACTTGCCTCGTATTTTTTTTTCTAAAGTTTATATTTCAATTATCAAAATATAATTGACAAACAGAGAATAATTCAAAGAAAAAGCATTGCCTCTGTTGTTAATAAAAGATAGAAAAAATAATGTTTTAAGAATGAAATTATATTGAATGTGTTGTTGTTGACATAACATCAAAACGACGAATAGAATAACCATTCCGAATATTTCTTAAACGAAGTGTAATTATTGATGGAACAATTGTTGGATTTATATTAAATTGAAATGATGGTGTTGGTTGAAATACTGCCGTATTTCCTGTTGTTAGGTATACCAAATATCATTGATATTGAACTTTGACGAATTTGATCAATAGCTTTTAATTTTGATGATGGTCGTAGAAGTTGTGCAACCGGTGATGATGAATTAAACATTGCTGTTGTATCCATTAATGTTTCTTGTCTCATATCCTCTAGTAAATTCCATGAACCATACGTTGTTATCTGAGCTGCTCCAGTAACCCACCAATTCAATGGTTGAAATCCATATCGATACCAACCATTTAAAAACGATACACACAAATTAATCATACGATTATCACGTGTAGCATTACTTTTTGCTGATAATGAACAACCTTCACAACCTGCAGCTGTATCTAGACCTCCTTCATAATCATGAACAGCTAATCCATACCAAGTAGCATAAACAGCATGTACACCAACTGGTACTCGTTGACTTCAACCTCGTTCAGGTAAAAATGTTTGTATACTAGAATTAAGTCATTCAATAACTTGATCTGTTATTAAATTTGACCATGTTTTGTATTGTGATAAATCAAAATAAGGAGCAATAGCAATATCATGAAGAAATGTTGATGGTGGACCATAAAGTTTATTTAAATAATCTAAACCTTGTATAATTATAGTTGGATTTACACATTGATCAGCTAAAATTGGTCGAATTCGTTTCCATGAACCAACATTTTCTTGACCAAATACAATTTTAAATAGATCAGATATACGTTTAATTTGTGATGCTGTTCATCGAAATGCCCAATACCAATAATTAGTACTATTATCATAAGCTAATCGTAATAGATCATCTTGATTCAAAACAGAATCATTTGCAGCTTTAAGATTTGTTGTAGCTTGTGCAAATATAAAATTCCATAATTCATTTGAAAATTCAACATAAATATTAATTGTTGGATTTAATTGATTTAACATTAATTGTACTACATTTAATACATAATCATCTGTCGCTCCATATGGGATATTTATCCAAATATCAACATTTGAATTGAGTTGATTTGCAATAAATGGAATTGTTTTCCATGGATTGCGTTTAGGTGGTGTATATTGTAGCCAATTCAATGGGGTCGTTTCATTCCAATTAACCTCTAGATTAGTATTTCTGCTAGTCCAATCCATAAAACGTATGATACTAAAACGTGATAAATGTGTTTACATTAAATTGGTAATATTTGATTTCGATGCTAAATCATAACCAGGTTGTAATACGCTTATATTTTGCAAACCAGGACCACTTGTATTGATGAAACTAAGCATTATTTGTGTTGCGCCTTGTGGTATAATTACTGAAGCCGATAGAGTATTTGTTGAGGCATTATACATTTTATTTGCAATACGTCCTGCTGATGAACCACCATATACAGTCACTTGAGCGTTACCTTGAGCATTTAATAAATATGTTCCACCCATACCAATAGCAGCTGTAGATAATACCATTCCAAAATCTCTTGTAGGCCATCCAGTTGTTGGATCAAATGTTGCATCTCTATCCCAAGGACTAGATGGACTACCTCATACACGAGATTGTCTTACTCGATTAACATATTGTAGACTACGAGTCCAATCACGTACACCATCCAAATTACCACCAATAGCAATATATGCACTAATATTTGCTATTGAAATCAGTATTGAAATAATGATACGCCAATGCATTCCTAGATGGTCTAAAATAAATCAAAAAAAAATTTCTGATGATATTTTTATTCAAGTGGTAGACAAGAAATTCGATTGTTCAAGCGTGGCGAAGAAGTAATCATTTTTCTAATCTATAGATTCAAATGACATTTTAATTTTGTCTTAAACAAAACTTACTAGTGACTAACTGGTTTTGAAACTAAATAAACTGCACAAAAAGAATGAAAAATTACGTATTGTTGATTTATACACCTTCTTATGGGGTCACAAATTGCATTCAGTGTATCATTCTTCTCAATCGAAAAACAACATTGAAATAAATAAACTTACATGTTGTTGTTATTAGAATAAAAAAGAAAAAGGTATACTTTATATAATTTGTATTTTACGTAGGATGAATATGATATGCATTGGTAGCAAATATTGACATGAAATGCACGGCTTTTTGACCATTCACCTTTGTCAAACAAAACAAGTAATTAATGACTACATGTTTTTTTCCAATATAATAACATTCACATTGTCTCTCCCTTCTCCACTGTTATTATGATATCAAGGGAAAAAAAAAATTATTTTTTCTTTCATATAAATTATTATTAGCATGGTAAATAAAATATATTTTATGTTCTACTGGTACAACCTTATATTTCTCATCAAGTTTGACACAATATTATTTTTTGAACTTAAACACAAGTAGCGCTCATCCTGCGGATTCGCTGACCCTTTTCTGAAAAAATAGTACTTCATTGTGAATTAAAAAGAATTTTATTCTGAAAAAGTCACTTCTGAATTATAATTGATCTCAATTATCAATGGTTGAGCTTATCACTTGCTTCGAAAAGATTGTATAGATATTAGACGAATCAGATCTCATACAACGTGCATTTGTTAAGGCTTTATGTTTTCATTGTTTATATCTATCAATAATCATGTTAATTGATATTTTCCGTACAAGTAACTCATTTACGTAGTATAAGGTTAGAAGTCATCGTCAATTATTAATACGTGTAGTACAACGTTCGATAAAGAAGTGGTCTCCCTTTCGTAGTTAATGTTCATTGATGTCGAATCTTTCTTTGTTCAATCCTCAAGGTTTATTCATCCATCTGAGTTAATCAAGTACAAATCAATAATAAAAACATTAATGTCTGTCAAGCGAGAGACGATCCCATGCCTCAACCTTGAAAGTGCTTCGAAACTTACAACCGGTAACGTTATGTTTTGGATATAACGAAAAAAGCTTTTCTATGATTTCTATTTTTTTTTATTTGATACTAGTAAGTAAAGGAAGTTATTAGTGGAAACAATTATCTCTATTCATAATGCATAATATATATAAACAAAAAAGTTCACAAAAAAAAGTCTACAATACATTTCTGAAAAGATATCAACTAACACTACAAACACTAAAAAAGTTCCATCCAAATCTTTTCTGCTTCATACTTATTCTTGAAATTCCAAGTCAATCAAAACGGATATCGTTTACGGTCCGTTTTTCGCCAGTAAACGGTTAAAAACGGCAACTGTACGGCAGTAAACGGACCACATTGTTTGACACGGAATGTTAATAAACGCCAAATTGTGAATGTCATTTCCTTCTTATTTTTCCTGTTTTTTAAATATACAAGTAATTTCAAATCTGCTCGTTCACATAAAAACACTGTTCGCACTGTTTGAACATGTCAACTTTTTGATAACAATCCATTCCTGTTTCTGAGAAATTGAATAATAATCATTTGGTAAAAGAATTCTAAAACGTAGAATATATTTTTCGATAATGCATACCTGCTCACTTGATGACTATATTTTTCAAACACTTAATTTTGCTATTTTTGACTGATATTTTTCTTCAGTTTTATTTTAACATTTTTTCTCATCTATTTGACTAATTAATCGTATCTCTGATGAACCCCAAAAGGGAACATGCATTAATTGAGAGCATTTTAAGACAATTTTTCACAATGGCATTTTACATTTACGAGTCACGATGTGTCTAATATCGTGCGAAGATTTGCTAGAATAATGTTTTGATAATTACATCTGTTAGCTGGATAATGAGTGAGCTTCTATTTTATTCTGTAATTTTATCTCTTTGTCCGTTCGCACAGTTATGCATACATATATATCTCGAAGAAAAGAAAGAGAAGAAAGGATAACAAAGAATAACGAACAACAGTAATATAGAGAAAGATAGAAAAGATGATCGAGGGTTTGCTCGCTAACAACATTTAAGAACAAGAATGTCATATATAATTTGTCTTTTATAAGCACGCATAAAAACAAAATGGAAGTATATTTGTTGCGTTTAGTTTGACATGTACACATGTATAAATATTCAGTTGTTATTGTTAAGATCCTAATAAATATCTGAGCAAACTCTTTAATTAGTTGGTGGGAGCGGCGCTGGCCTCTTTTTTGTTTTTGGTTGAGACGATGGAGAAAGAGCAAGAGGAACTAAATTGACCGGTGGAAGCGGAGCTGGTCCCTTTTTTGTTTTTTGCTGAGAAGATGCAGAAGAAGCAATAGAAATTACATTGAATGGTGGTGGCGGTGCTGGCCTCTTTTTTGTTGTTGATTGGGACGATGAATAAGAAGCAAGAGGAACTAAATTGAATGGTAGTGGTATATCAGTATCTTTTAATAGTGCTTCTTCAGGAGGAGCTGATGTTGGTGGACTTTGATTATCATCTTCTTGAATATCCAATCCAGGGCTAAGATCGTCACAAACTCTATTCATCCAAGGCATTGAGCCTAATTTAATTAATGTAATCCAACAACCACCGTGTTGATACTAAAACGAAGTGTTTTTGTTTTATTTGTTCAAACAAATTTTTTAAACCTTAATTGAACAACGTTCAGGTTGAATTTTTCCGAATAATCGTGCAATTGATATTGAATATAATTTTGTTTGAACATTTATCGCAAATATAAATGATCTAAATTTTCTTTTCAGGAACATTTTCTCTGTTTTATAACACTTATTGATTTTGAAAATCGAGCACTTTTACATGTCCATTTGAGGGAATAAATTTAAAAAAATTTAGAAATGATCTTTTTACTTTTAACTCTGGGATACTTAGATATATAAATACTTTATATGAACCTTCTTCTTGCACGAAAACTAGAAAAAAAAATTTTAATTTTAATTCTGCAATTCATTGAATACATACACCTTGGTACAATAGGTTTTGTTGTATCACCAGTTGCATTCATTATAGTTTATTTTAAATGATGAATAATAGCGATATGATATTGAAAAAGTACTCGATCCGATAATAGCTGAAAAGACGACATGAATAGAATATAGTACTACTCTTTATTGATCACTCATTTTTATCTTTATCTGTCAGAACGAACAAAGTTGCTTAATCGGTATATAGATCAAACAATTAGATTTTACTTGAATTAATGCAGATCGTTGATAAATATTCGATGAATTATGATGATGATCGGTTACAATCTTAAACTACTTTTTTTATGAATGAGGAACGTAATGTTACGATTCACATTTTAATCATATAAATTATAGTTGAATGACCTAATGGTCGAAATATATGATTAAAAATGACCTTTACATTGGAATAATGATATTCCATTTATTGAGAAACAAACCTTCCAAAGATTATAACTTAATTGAGTTAGAACTTTTCTACTAAAGTTGCCTGCATTGCATGTGAGTACAAAAGCGTTTTCTAGTACACTATAGTTACTATCTCGATCGACAAAAATCGATCTCTCATGTATGATATATTGATCTAAAATAATTCTGAAAACCGTGATTAAATATAGGCGTGTTAAGTGATTAATGCATGAATATTAGAAATAAAAATTGAACTATTGAATAACAGAATAAAAAAACGAACTAGCAAAAATTTTAAACCTAGTTTTACAAACATTTAACATAAGAAATGGACGTTTGAGCTGTACAATAGAAAAAAAACCTTCCAATATATACATTTAACTACGAATAATAGATAGATATTAACAAACTTCTACAAACATTTGATGAGAAATACACACTTGAGTTAGAGTATGAAAAAACCAAATCTTCTGTATTGCGATCATTAGATTTGTCTAAATTAACCGTATAATGTATTTTGAGAAAAAAATTCATGGAAATAGGAGATTGTGTTGCTATATGAATGAGTATTGTCACAGTCACTATTTAGCTAGCTAAAAATTGTTAGATAATATTTTGACGGCATATCATAGTCTAGAAAAAGAATAATTCTTTTTTCTCCATTTTTTTAAATTGATTTTTTACGTACTATTTCGGTTGATGGTTAGAAACTTCGTTTGCGTCGAAAGCAATAATATACTAAACCAGCACTCAGTCCGAAGAGGATCCAGCTAAAACTTAACATACTATAAGGCCACATGCGTGTAGAAAAAGAGGTCTGAAGAGTGGAAACAGCATTTGTTTCACGTATAAAGTCCCTCACAATGTTATTTAGTTGGTCGATCATATTACTCTTAAACCATGTCATATTTTCAGTGATATGTCGATGGACATTCATAACAGAAATATTTTTAACAAGCACGCCTTTATTGTACAAAATAACGAGTGAAGACCTGTTTGAAGTTATAGGACGGCCTACTAAACTGAAGCCAGGACACGGAACTGTATAACCTTCAGTTACATTTATAAGAGCAACAGGTGGAAGTATTATTTCTTCATTCTTCCTCCAGATATGTTGCATGGAACTGACATATTCAATCTTTGAAATTTTCATACAATGCATTGGTCCAGGTGACGAAGTAATCCAAAAGTTATCTCTTAATTGTTGAACAAAATATTTGGTAGTAGGGACTGGTATTGTTTGACATCTGGATAGCGGAAGCCTTTCTATGATTTGATCGAAGAAAGTATCTTTTGAGATCGTACGGATAGGTGGAGTATCACGGCATGTTGTCATCAGTTGAAGATTGCATCTAGATTCTTCAGGATTATCCCATTCCATAGTGGTATTATCTGTTGGATTAATTGCCCAATATCGAGGCATTTGAGCGAGTTGGATTGTTTTATTGTCATGAAAGAAGGGAATCGTCAGTAATTTGTACGTGTAGAAGGGCATTTGATCCTGTCGTGGAACGGCGAAAAAATTAGTAATGACGAGACGACCGATTTCTTGTGAATTCTTGGTTGTATATTGTGATCTGGGGATGAAGTCTACCTACTGACGAACGAGAAGATTAGCAATGATTTGAGCAAGGGGGATTGATCCATGGTAATGATGAAATGTTAGGCTTCCTTCTTTAGCAACATCATATACCACTTTACGTAGGTCGTCTGGCAACAAAAAATCTAGGTTGAGTTCGTTACGAAAGATTTTAGTCATTGCTAAGTAAAGGAAGGATTGTTGAAATTGAGCATGTAACTGTTCAAAACCAATTTCCAAAGTATTGATAGCTGCGGCGTGTGAGTCTAAGATAGGTATCATTGCATCGATAGCTTTCTGTGTCTTTTGAAGCTCATCTGTAAATTCTATTTGCTTCGACATAATTTTTACTAAGTATGCCTGATATATGTACATAGTGTGAGAGAATTTTGATAGAGTGTTTTCCACGACCGCTACTTGTTCTTGAAGACTTGCAATTTGCATAGAATTTGCTACAAATATACCGAGACTGGCCATTCCAACACCCTAACCGATAATGTCGACGAAGCGTTTATTCATTTTTCTGGTAATATTGCAGGAGGGAACATTTTGTGCAGCTGCTAATTGTAGAACGTGGCATGTAGCTGTTGTCATCGGAAAAACCGCTGAATTATGAATGATTGTTTCAGATGGTGTGTACAAACCGATATAGTCAAAGAAAAGACCTGTCTCGGGATGTGCAGTTGTAGTCTTTTTTGAAAAGGTATCATTCAAGTACGCGTGAAGATGTAGAACGAGTAGAATAAGAAGAAGCGGGATGACTATGATGCAGTATTTCATGACCGATGTTGAATTATGTATTTGTGATGTTCGTAGCTAATTTTGTTTTGATTAACACTATTTATATAAGAGAGTGAAGATGATTGCTTAGAATATCTACAATAAATGAGCGAAAGAAGAAGTAATGAACGAGATGAAAAATACAAGAGAGATTTTGATACAAAAGGAAGAGATAGATGCTGGTTGGTTAGAGCTTTGTTTTCTTTATATGTATAAAGAAAGAGGGTATGGGTGTAGGATGTCGGTTAGATAAAAACCGAAGTCACATCCACACATACCTGCATCCATACCCACACCTCCACCCGCACACACCTACACCCACACCCCCACCCGCACACACCTACA